TAATAAAAAGAAATAGCCCATTAAAATATGAGCAAAGGGTCTGAATAGACATTTCTCCAAAGAAAATTTATAAATGGCCAGTACATACATGAAAAGATGCTCAACATAATTAATTATTAGGAAAATGCAAATCAAACCACAATGAGATACCACTTTAATACCAACTAGAATGTCTATGTTCAAAAGACACATAGTAAGTGTTGGCAAAGATGTGGAGAAATTGAAACACTTATTCCTGGTAAGAGTGTGAAATGGTGCAGCTGCTTTGGAAAATTGTTTGGCAAGTCCTCAAAATGTTATAGAGTTACCTTATGACCCACCAAGTCCACTCCTAGTTGTAGACCCAAGAGATATGAAAATGAATGCTCACACAAAAGCCTGTACATGAAGGTTCATAATAGGATTATTCATAATAGCCAAATACTGAAAACAATCCATATATTCATCAACTGATAAATGGATAAAGAAAATGTGGTATCTTCGTACAATGGGGTATTATTCAGCCATATAAAGGAATAAAATATTTGATGCATGCTACAACTCAATGAACCTTGAAAGCATTATGCTAAGTGAAAGAAGCCAGTTAACAAAAGGCCACATAGTATATGGTTCTAGTTATATGAAATGTCCAGAATAGGCAAATCTGTAGAGACAGATTAGTGATTGGCTAGGTCTGGGAAGGGGAGTGGAGTAGAAAATGAAGAATGACTGCTAATGGGTACAGTATTTCTTTTGGGAGGATAAGAACGTTCTAAAATTAGACCCGTTGATTATTGTGCAACCATGTGAATATACTAAAAACATTTAACTGTGCAGTTTAAATGGGTGATTTTATGGTTTTAAAATTATACTTCAGTAAAGCTAAGTTTGGGTATTTTTATAAACCTTTTTGCCCAGGCTGAAACTTAGACCAATGAACTTAGTCTCCTAGGGTGGAACCCATGCATCAGTATTTTTTAAGAGTTCTCCAGGTGATTGCATTGTGCAGCCAAGATTGAGAATCGTTATGTTTGAATCAGCCCTAATCTAAATGAGTTTTAATTTTAAAAACTCCAAAAGAGTTCAGATCCCATGTAGAAGGACTCCAGGAGGCTTCCTCAGACCATGACACTACAAGTGTGGTCCTGAGACCAGCAGCATCAGTATCACCCAGGAACCTGTTAGAAATGCAGATTATTGGGCCCCACTCAGTTCAGGTACCTCAGGAGCCACAGTTTAACAAGCTCCCCAGGTGATTCATATGTATATTAAAGTTTGGGAAGCATTGCTTAGGAGCAGCTGCACATTGGAATTACCTGGAGAGTCAACAAGTACCAATGCCTGGGTTCCACCACCAGCGATCTTACGGGTATGAGAGGCAGCCTGTGCATCTGGGGTTTAAAAGCTTCCCAGGCGATTCTAATGTGCAGCAACGTTTGAGAATGAGTACTGAAAAAAAAAAAAAAGATATTTAATGGCAAATAACATGGCTAATAAATAAAATTTTCTTATTTTGTTTTCAACAGAAGGATAGAGGAATGTGCATAAGAAAGTGGAGATTATTAATGTCAAAAATTTCCAGAGGAATGAGGAAGGAATGGGAGTGAGACAGGGATGGGAGTGAGACAACAGTGGAAAACACTAGCCCTAAAANCAGGCATTCCAGGCCAGCCTAGGCAACATGGTGAGACACTATTTCTAAAAAAAAAAAAAAAAAAAAAAAAAAAAAAACAGCACACACCAGGTATTTTTCTTCTAAATGCAAGAAGGGGATCCTTCGTATGATTATTGGAGACTACTCAAATATAAGTGGCCAAGGATTTGTGAGTTCTTAAGAGGGTTTTTAAAGTATGCTGAAAATATGTGGGTATTTACTGAACTTCCCTTCCTTTGAATTTATAAAGAAATGGTGGTGAACATTTCTTACCAAGCTCTGTACCCATGTCCAGCTTCTTCAATCTGGGGAAGGTATAACTCTTAAGTAGACAGTGGGCCCTGCGCAGGGTCTGGGGCATGCTCTTCCTATGTATGGCATTCAGCTCTAAGGAGTCTCCTCCCCAACAATCGGCCACATCTCTCCAATGACCATTGTCTCTCTGCCATTTGCTTGTTTTTTCAAAATTATGATTCTAAAATATTTCCTAGGCAAAATTATGAGGCTCACAGAATTAGCTTTGAGATTTCTCAATTCGTCACCCACCCCTTCCCCTCCTTCCCACAAGCTCCATTTCTGTCCCCTGCCCCCAGATTGTCTTCTCCAGGTGACTTGAACCCACCTTCTTGAATGCAGCATCAGCACACTGTACCCTTGTCTGCACTGAAATTAACCATGCAGTTTCTGTGCCTTCTTGGGTTGATGTGTGTATGTGTTAGTGGGAGGTATAATTACTTTATTGAATCTGTGCTAATAAAGTATTAACTATTAATGCAAAACCCACAGTCCCTCTCTACCTCCCCCTCAGGAAGTCCCTAATGGTGTTTGGTCATTGTTTTAGTCACCTGTCACATATTATGTTTTCTTGGTCCATATCTCTAACCACATCCTTAGGAAAATATTCTGATGAGTACATTTTAAAAGTAGAATCACAACATACTTAAGATAGTTGGAGGGGTTGGCTCTTATTTGCATCACGATGATTCTGCCTATGAAGATGTTTCCTAACAAACAGTCAACTAGGATTATATACAACCTTTGGTTTCAAAAATGTCATCTCATCTTCTTATTTTAAAATACCTGTGACTCTTCTGAATAATAAAAAAAATGACATGAATGAAGAGTATGTATATAAACTCTCTCTAAGGTTATTAGGAAAATATTTTTTATTTAACTGTGCCTAATGTTTTGGGGTATTACAGTGACCTCTACTTTTAAAGATGAGTGGTTATATATTAATATATTGGTCCTGAAATTTTGAGTTTTTACCCTATAGTGTAGAAAAAGCCTTTGTTTTTAATAGCTGCCCTAAAAATTTAACACAAAAGTTTTACTTAGCTAAATCTAAATTTAATCAGCAGCATTTCCCTACTTCCAAACAATATGAAGACTTTAAAATGCTTTCATTCTGATTTCCTTTCTTTGCTTGCTATTACTTTCCAGGATTTTAAACTCTGTTTGCTTGGTTTCGTTTATTTGTTTGTTTGTTTTAAGACAGAGTCTCACTTTGTCACCCAGGCTGGAGTGCAGTAGTGTAATCATAGCTCACTACAGCCTTGAATTCCTGGGCTCAAGGGATCTTCTCGCCTCAGCCTCCTGAGTTTCTGGGACTACAGACATGCACCACCATGCTCAAATAATTTTTTTTTTATCTTTTTTTGGTACAGACCAGGTCTCACTATGTTGCCCAAGCTTGTCTCAAACTCCTGGCTGGCCTCAAGGGATCCTCCCATCTCAGCCTCCCAAAGTGCTGAGATTATAGGCATGAACCATTGTACCTGGCATACTTGTTTGGTTTTAAGCTCACAAATTAGACATCATCATCATTCTATTTAGATGTTCTCATATTTACCATTTTATTTACATATCATTCCTACTTACATTCAGAGCTTCTGGGATCAAACCGTAGTTCCTGGCATTTTGGACTGGTTGATAGTCTCCAGCATATTCAGGCAGTTAAATGCCTCAGAAAGAAAATGAGAAAAGAAAGGTCCTGGGAAATATGCCTCACCCCAACCCCTGCAGTGCTGCCGCTACTGTCCCAAGATTGTGGGCACCCCTGAGTATTTCCTTTGCACTCTCATATGTTTTATGGAGTAGATGGGGACAATGACATCTTATAGAATGCTAAAATTAAATATGTTCAATTTAAGGAGCTGTCATTTATTCTGAGATTGTGTCTTTCCTACCTTTTTGGCTGTTAAAATCAACTTTATTTTATAAAATAATGGTGATGGTAGTTGATATTTGTTTGGTTTTGTTTTAAATTAATTAAGATTTGTTTTTATATTCCCTTACTTGGCAAATACACAGTTGTGAATCGCAACCCATATTTTTTGAAATTTTATTGGGCCTTGAAATCCCAAACCACTGCTATAAACAACTAGCTGTGAGTCTGGTGTATGGACACTGGGACACCTGAAACCATGTCCTGGTTACATCAAGAGCCTTATTGATTATTTAGATTATGTATGAATCCTGTGGTGTTAACAGTACTTTGCAGCCTTCAGTACTTAGCTGAACCGTATTGGATTATCAAGGAGTCTCAGTACTCCCTCAATGATTTAAATTGTTTTTAACAACTTCCATAAGGCTGAGTCTATACTAGCAAAATGACCTGGGTGCTTCATGTGCTCCTTACATGCATCTGGTGCTGTTTTTGCCCCCAATTTTTTAAGAACACTGCTTTGAGAGTCACACAACCCAATATTCAACCAATAACTTACTGTGTACCTTCTTCATTTGTAAGAAGAGGGGGTTGAACTAAGCGATCTCCAAGTCACTTTTCAGCACAAATGTAGGTTGTGATTGTATTTATGTGTATACATTTGTTTTAAAGCCAAAAAGAGATCTAGGTATTTTTCATGTGTTTATATTAAATCTGAAATCCGTGTTGCAAATTTGGACATAGAGAACATTAATTTTTCTGCTGCAGGCTAGGCTCTGAGGCATGTTGCATCTGTAATATTGGTGCCACCATTTTGGCAGAAGCAGTTTCTTCATTTCCTTGTAAGTGTTCAGTATGAAGCCTATATAAGATGACTTGAGTTCTCATTTCTCTGGTGTAAAAAATGGTCATGTTTAAATAAGGCCACAATATTTATTGCAAAGTGTCCCAGGATCCTTTTTAAAAAATATCATCGTATGCTTGTTACTAAAGTTCTTATGTAAAGTGTTCATTCAATGTAGACAAATGATGACTACTTGAAGATGGCACCAACTGTGATTTTGGAGACCTCCAAATTCATGACAGAGTTGTTAACTGACAGGTTTGTTATTTCCTATATGTACAAAGAAGGGAAGTATTAAAATAACTCATGCCCATTAGATAGAGGAAATTAACATTCCCTTAAAAATTGTTTTCCAGTGAAGGAAGCCCATCCCCTAGAGTGGAGCTGCTGCATAATATTGACCCGAACTTTGTGGACTCTTCACCGTGTGAGTACCAGTGCATTGCTACTAGATTAAATCTCATTGGCCCACCAAGATGGTTTGATTACCTAGTGAGTCTCTAGCCTAGCTTTCTCTTTTATCCGGAGTTGCTATAAAGGTAAACAGTTCTTCGGGACATATCTTCCACTCATCTCAGAGGGCAGTGTGCTGTGAAATGAACACCAGCTTATGAATCAAGAAAGGCCAATTCTATTCTTGCTCTGCCGCTTACTAGCCTTCAAGCCATTGAACTCTCCCTGCCCCAGCTCTCCCCATTTACAAAAGGAGAACTCATGGCATCTTTGAGCTCCTTCTCACTGTAGGTATCATTTTGTTGCCCTGCTCTTACCTAGAGCTCCAGAGCCACCTTCCAGAAAACTCACGGTCATATAAGCCACAGTTGGGTCCCAGCATAATGTGAGCAACCACATTATGTGATTGGGCTGCTGCACAACACCTGCTGGGTGTCACAAGTGTGACTTTCCTAGCAGTCCTGGAAGCGATTCTACTTGATTCTGCCTCCTGCCAAAATTAACCGGTAAAGAGCCCTACCGTTTCCTTCAGGGCAGGCATGCATGTAGTGCTCCCAGATCACAATGGACTGTAATAGGCCTGTATATGTACCATGTGAGTGGCCCTAATACCCTCAGCATAGTGAGTTTGGCCATAGAAAGCCTTAGCAATTAGACCCTTTGCCCAGCTTTCATCGTAATGCTCATCTTGCAAACAGTGCCCTTACATTCCCTTATTCACATGGGGGCTCCATCTCCTCCTCTCTGAACATACTGCTGCCCCCTTAGTTCAACCTCTCCTGACTTCTCTGTCCTTTCCAAACTGTGTTATAGCTCGCCACAAAATATTATTGCTCAGAGACTCCTGCTCAGAGAATTACCCCACAGTAATTCTAAATATGTCACCAGGCGCTCCGGCCCCACTTGCCTGTCCAGACTCACTCCGGGCACTCCTTGTCATGTTCTCACCTCCTAGACACTTGTCATCTCCAAGCATGCACATCATTGTACTATTGTGAATATGCTTTTCCCAATGCCTGAAACACCTTTTCCCTACCTCTCTACAATTTCTCTCATCCCTTGAAACCCAGCCCCATGTCCCCATCTGTGAATGCTTTCCAGAGCCCCGGAGGAAACAGTCACTCCTTCCTGGGTGCATGTGTCTCCAGATAGCATCCTTCACGTGTTCATGTTTGTGGCTGCATTTCCAAGCTGAGAGCTCCTGGAAGTCAGCATCTCTTGTATTTTTTTATCCTTGTCAGTTATCACAAATACCAGGCACTTGCTAGGCACTCAGTAATGATTACTTGATGACTCAGTGGACAATTGGAGAGTTGAGATGCAAGAAAGACCAAGTGAACACATTAAGACCTGGACAGGAAAGGGCCCTGAGGCAGGCGAGAATGGCTACATCATGGAGAAATTTCTATTTCTTTTGGAGTAAATGCATGTCAGTGAGAGAGGCAAGGGGAAAGTTTGAGCCCTAAGGACTGTAAGAACAGTCTAGATTTGTGCTGTTCAGTATGGTAGCCACAGGCCACATGTAGCTATTGGGTATTTAAAATATGGCTATCTGTGGATTGAGATGTGCTATGAGTAGAATATATACATCAGATTTTGAAGACTTAGTACACCTATATGTTATATGCATATAACATTACAGATTTATTATTTGTTGAAAGGATAATACCTTGGATATATTGAATTAAATACATTGTTAGTGTTTCACTTGTCTCCTCTTCCTTTCTTAATGTGGCTAATAGAATTTTAATTAATTTACATATGTGACTTGCATCATATTTCTATTGGCCTAAAAACCTCTTCTGGAAGGTGCTAGGAAGTAAGTTGATCAGCTGAGCTGATCACAGAGCTGTGACTAGTGACTGTGAGGTTACATCGATGACTCCTAAACTTTTCTCTACCCCAGTACACCGAAGAGCTACATTTCAGTCATATCAAAATATCTAAGCATGTCTGGAAGAGAATAGTGGGGAGGCAGGAACAGCTTTAACAATTTCTGAGTAATTTACTGCACTGCAAAGCCTAGTATAGCCTAGGTCTAGGGGATATGTGGAATATGCTACCCACATAATAATGGTTATAAATGTCTTTACCTGCTAAGTTCCACCTAGAAATGAAAAACCTTAAGAATCCTCACTTACTAAGCTGTATTTTGTTTGGCATTTGAAGTAGGAGCTTGAGAACTATACTCCTATGTGATGTGGTTTGGATTTGTGTCCCCATCCAAATCACATGTCTAATTGTGATCCCCCATGCTGAAGGAAGGGCCTGGCAGGAGGTGATTGGATCATGGAAGTGGACTTCCCCCTTGCTGTTCTTGTGATAGTGAGTGAGTTCTTGCAAGATCTGGTTGCTTGAAAGTTTGTGGCACCTACCCGTTCTGTCTTCCTCCTGCTCCAGCCATGTTGGACATGCCTGCCTCCCCTTTGCTTTCTGTCATGATTGTAAGTTCCTGAGGCCTCCCCAGCCATGATTCCTGTACAGCTTATGGAACCCCAAACCAATTAAATCTCTTTTCTTTATACCCAGTCTCAGGTAGTTCTCTATAGCAGTGGAAGAACAGATGAATACACTGTATAACCGCCACAGCGCTGTGTGCTGCAGGGTTCTTGGTGCAACCTGCTGTGCTTTTTCCTGCCTTTCCTAAGGTCCACTAGCAAAATAATAGCATAGGCAAAAGGTTTCTCCACCGTAAAAGTTGGTAAGAACATGGAAATTAGAATATAAAGTTGTCTTAATCTTGCCACCCATAGACTATAAGGACATTTACTTCTCTTAGACTCAGTTTCCTTCATATTATGTGGTGAACTTGAAAGACCCAGTACTGCAGCCACAAATTCAGGGAGCCTCTTTGGCCTTCTGCTGCTCTTTCTCCCCTCTCTGGAACCCACCCAGGCCTTCATGTTGGCTTCCCCACCAGCTTGGGACTACTGCTGTGACTCTTGCAGGTAACGAGGGACATTGTCAGCTCTTGCAAGGACGTGGAACCACATTCACTGTTGCTTCATGCGCACAGGGCATTCTCTGCTGTCTGTGCCTGCAGGTAGCAAGGTGCCACCCACCTCCTCACACATGGCAATCCCATGGGCCTTTTCCTGCCTAGTTTTTATATTCACTTCACTCTACTGAGAGGCAGAAACAGAAAAAAGGAAAGCTATCTTTGCGTGCCTGCTCTTTTTTAGGATGATGATACAAGCCATTTCCTTTTCTATGCAATTCACTTATGAGGAAAAATTAAATCCAGCTATAAAAAGCCATGTTCTTACAGGACAGCCAAGTCTGGATATCATATTCATAGAGCATAGAGGCTTTTATGGAGTAAAATCAGAAAGCAGCCAATCTAGGGTGTAAACTAAGGATTAAGAAATGAGTCAGTGCTATCACAGAAGCATTTCTGAGGTTTCTCCCTGCAGCCCTTCCCAGATCGTTTGTTTTTACTACAGGAGAAGAAGGTAATGTTCTACCTCTACCTTTGCTAAAGTCACTTTGTCAGTTTCCTCACCTGTGAAGTAAAGATGGAATTAAATGAACTCCAAGGTCCCTCTGGCTTCAGTGTTCTGTGAGTCTCTATATAAACGGGACCTCAAAGAGCAAATCTGCTTACTCTGCTTCTCTCCTGTTTCTGCCTGCTAGAAGGAGTGTGCCCATTGATAAGCAGTGTTGTTGCCAAAGGCATGGTTATAAATAGATGAACACAAGTGAAAGTGCTAGAAACATTATATGCACTAGAGGAATTTGAATTATTTTATGAGTTTCTTATTACTACATCCGGCCACCTTTCTGATCTCTGTTCCAAAACATCACCTTATCAATCCACTTTTCCATCTCCTCTTTCCCTTAGTGGGTCATCCTGAGGTTGTTGACCAATGTCTCCTGTGATCCTGAATCATATGAATAGGGATTACGCACTTTCCAGGAGATGTCTGCCTTCTGCCTAGCACCAGATGCCCCCAGAAGCTGGCCTCTTTGATTTCAGCAGCTACGTCCCACACTCCCCACCAACACACACCCCATTCCCCTAGTCAAATTATATGGTGCCCAGAGTCCCATCCTGCTGGTAGAGTCAGGATTTTTTTCATGGTCACATACCACGGTAGGTTGTGACTTGGATACTAACAGTAAAAATACTCAAAGATTGGCACAGAATATTGATACACATACACATTCACAGAGAAACATGCACACACACCAGAGGTCACCGAATCTCTCATAGACCAGGAGATTCACCATTCTGCAGTAAAGCATAAAGTCACAAGGATACATACATAGATCACACCATTAAGATGATTACAATCAATTTAAAAAAGAAAAGAAAGAAAAGGAGAGCTAGTGGAAGCAAGGGAGGGAGGGAGGGAGGGAAGGAGGAAGGGAGGGAGGGAGGGAAAAATAAGAAGTGTTGTTGAGGGTGTAGAGAAATTGAAACCCTTGTTTACTGTCAATGAGAAAGCAAAAAAGTGTAGCCTCTATGGACAATAACATTGTGTGATTACTCAAAATATTAAAAATAGAATTATCATAGGATCCAACAATCCCACTTCTGGGTAAATATCTAAAAGCATTAAAAGCAGGGGCTTGAACAGTTATGCACACTCATGTTTGTAGCAGCATTACTCACCATTACTCAGAATAGATGAAAGGTAGTAGCAACCCAAGCTCCATCAGTGAATGGGTGAATAAACAAAATGTGGCATATATATGCAATGAAATGTTATCCTGCATTAACAGTGAAAGAAATTCTGATACATACGACAGTATGGATGAACCTTGAGGACATTATGCCAAGCAAGTCACAAAAGGAAAAACTGTATGATTCCACTTTTATGAGGTACCTAGTAGTCAGATTCATAGGGACAGAAAATTGAATGGCGGTTACCAGAGGTTGTGGGGAGGGAAGAAAGGGGCATGATTGTTGAGTGGGCATAGAGATGGATGGTGATAATAACAGCACACAATGTGAATGTATTTAATGCCACT